GACATGACAGTAATCAAAATTCACCACTTTTACCAATCAAATCTTCCCAAGGGGCCCCGACTGTGAGTCGTTCTGTTCTGCATTAGAATTTATGATTTATGTGTGTATCGATTATAAAACTATTTCAATTGTGTATTTATTTAGTATTACTTAAAAGTGTTTTACACTACTGGGCTTGTTTCTTTCTTTTTAGTGCTTTTAAGTTAATTTTTTCATGTATTTTTTAAAATGCATTTTCACGCAGTCGGGTTTTTTGTTTTCCTTTAAATTATTTAGCTTTGTATTTTGAAAGAGGGGCATTTTCTTCTAATCAATCGGCAGTTATTTTTAATCTAGAATGTAATTCAGGTATTGTCTCTTTCTTTATTTCGATTCTAGCTACTATTGAAGTATTACATAATGTACTAAGAGGTCAATACTAGTAAATGAAATGTTTAGGAGTCGAGACACCACTCCCCAATATCGATATTTTTTGGTGTAGTGGTATCCTTATTGTTTCAGATTTTGAATACTTATTCACCTTGGGGTCAGATCAATGTGTCCTTATGACGTTGTCTAGTATTTAGTTATTAAATTTGGTTTCTATTTACATAGTTTTAGTTAACGGTTGCCCGCGTCTTGATGTTCTATGATTATTAGTAGAACAAATTGTTCAATGCAAGGTCGAAGCCACTTTCTCCATGCAACGATGAAAGTAATGCATTGTATTGAAACATTAGCAATACTATTGAGGGCAACGTACACACACTGTAGCTGCGAAGTAAGGTGTGCCTACAATGATGCAATTAGAAATAAACAGTGATATTGTTCCGAAACATATTGCATCTTTTAATTTTTGTACGTTTATTGCACCGCAATAAATGCGCCGCATTTTTTATAAACCTTATTTTAATTTGTCTGAATTCCTTCAAAATTAAGAATTATTTATTTGTTTCCTTTTAAGTATTTGCCAGTGCTGCTAATTGCTCTTACGATCGAGCAAAACTCGAGTATCTTAATTAGATTCTTTAAATGATTAGTCTAAGATTTCAGCTGGAACGATGCGGTTTTAAACCTTGGGGTCGACGGCCATCTGAATCCGTCAACGTAATAAGATTGTTACATCAGGTGCTAAGATCTCTCCGACGATAATTTACAATTTCTAAGGTACGCTGTTTCGCCAACCATAACAACAATAACATAATATTACCACCATCTTTATAATAATTTAACTATTCAGAAATACCAATCTCTAATACTACATAGAGTTTCAATAAAGAATGGCAATTGGCAAATTGCGCTACATATTTTTTTCGATTACTAAAAATTCTTGGAAAAGCAAGAAATGCAACAAAATGGTTTCATTTAATTAAATGCAATTATAACGTGAATAACCAAAGGAATTCCGACTCAGACTCAAGTCATGACCTTGGTAGATGCACTCTCAGCTCATATTTATAACCCACTTAAAGACACGAGCAGTTTTTTTGTCTTCCATTTCGAAATATACTGACAATGACATGCTCAAAGTTACTCAATTAGTAAAGGCAATAACATGCTCTGAAAACTGCATAAAAACTATTTAAATTTAAAACGGATAAATAAGGCGAGTGTGACAGGGAAGACCTAGACGTACGTATCACGACCAAATCACGGACGTATTAAAAAAAGGTCAGATCGAGAGTACCCAAAACCGGCATTCTTGTATAAAAATGTTGATGCGTATGAATGGAACGGGAGAGGTAAGTCAGTATCGTGCAAAATGAAAGGAAGTACTCTCTGCCTACCCCGCCGCTGGGAAAAAGGCGTGACATTATAGATATATGTAGATAGATTTTTTGAACTGCTAACATTGAGGATAAAAAAATAAAAGATATGTCTTTTTTATGGGATAGGGAGCAGACGAGCATACGGATTACCTGATGGTAAGTGATTACCGTCGGCCATGGACACCTGCAACACCAGAGGGGCTACAAGCGCCGGCCTTTGAGGGACGAATATGATCATAGGGAAGGAAGGTTTGAGGGGTAGAGGGAAGGGAATAGGGAGGGGTTGGGCCTCCGGTACCCTCACTCACACGACGAAACACAACGCAAGCGTTGCTTCACGTCGGTTTTCTGTGAGGCCGTGATATCACTCCGGTCGAGCCGGCCCATTCATGCCGAAGCGTGGCTCTCCAACTTTGTTACTTAAGATATACTTTCTGTAGGTACACTGAAGTCGATGGCCACTTATTGTCAATATAGTTTGTTCATTAATAATAAAATAAAATTAGTAATAAATATTTAGCTTAAAAATTTAATTACATCTTTAATATTAGAAAAGATAAAAAACTAATCTTAATACTAAATTATAGGGAAAAATTGTGCATTAATATCAATTATTTCCTGTGTAGAGTTTATTTAATTAATGAATTTGAAATATTTTTAGTATTATATTACACACAAAAGTTAATTACTAAAAATATGGAATTATATTTGTTTATAACGGATAAACTCCCAAATTAAACAAACTATTTAGTGTAAAATAATAAAAAAAGTCTTCAATTTGATTTCCCATAGTTTATGTTTATCAGTGACAGTGATACTGATAACCGAGACACTAATAAAATATTAAAATTTGCTACCACGAAATATTCGAATCCTTCACCTTAGGTTCATGGTGAATATTATATATTAATTATGTCATATTTGAACGACCTTGACCTTTAGAACTTTTTGGAGTTAATTTAACATAACATTGAACATTTTGAATTTTCGTTTATCTGCGTGTGCGCTATTGTCTCATTTGATGATATTTTTTTTCGTTTTTAAGGACGAACCTCTATATTATTACAGTGCCGTGCTCGACGTCGAGTTTGAGGCTTTTATTAACATAATAGCATAGCTGTTGTCCTATCTGTATTTATGCTAGATACCTTATAGATTTCCGTAATTATTATAAGAAATATTGTTCTGAGAATATCAGACCAAGCATCTTATCGATAGCTCTTATCAACGAAGTAAATCAGCGACGGAAGGAGAAGAAAGCGATAATCAGACAGATGAAACTTTACTAAGCCAATTTTAAACTAGAATAGGAACATTAACACAATTTCAAAAGTATAAAATTTATTTACAAAAATATCACAAGCGCAACAAACAACAAGGAGGACTATTTATCCGTAACATGAAAGAAAAGGTTCAATATTATGTAATTACTTCTAAATTTAGACAAATATAGATATAGCAAAGAATTTAACAAATATTAATTCATTAATGTACATTCAACAGCTTTTCAAACTGTACCACCCTGTCAATTTTCTTCACTTGATTTTACCTTAATGCATAGAGGGTAGCGTTTCAAATCAATTCAAGAAATTTGATATGTTGTGCCGTAATGCAGCCTATATTATTTCTTTTCTTATATTTCACGACAATGTAATGTTTAGTTAAGTTAGTTGAACGGCAAATTTTGTAACCACAACCACAGGTATTTTAAGCAGACGATAACTTTACGACCTTTAGATTTCGTAAAGCAGCAAAAGAACAGCTTTTTAAAGGTGCTTCAACAACTAAAAATCCATCAAGAATTTTGACGGATTTTCAACCTACAACTTGTTTTTAGGTTGGGCTACATTTCTTTAGATTAAGAAGAATTCGAGAAAGAAACGAGTTAACCTTTTCAGGGGCTTTAAAATGGTACAGCTTGTATTTAAATACAAGCTTTGATAACTATGACAATTCAATATTGATATAAGTAGAATGGAGCTGATCTGATGACAAATCCGAAAGGTAGCCATCGGACCTCTGTAATTTTAAACGAAATAATCCCATTAAGTTTGGCCTCAACATATCCAGCAATTAAAGTCTGCGGCTGTGCACATGATAAACATGGAGAAAAGATGTTCTTATATACGGGTCCTAATTCGCAATATGCCTCATTCTCGGCGGTAAAAGGGAAAGGCGGAAAGAAGTCTTGCCGGTCAAGGGTGTGATTTCCAAAGTACTATTCTATTTTAATATTTGATCCTATTGATACATTATCATAAATATAATAAATTATATTGTATCAATAGGATAGGATATTTAAAAATAATAATTCTGCATGCCAAGTAACGAAATAATATGTATCACCTCTAAGTGTCTTTATTTGCAAATAAGTAAATGATTTCATTTGAAAAAAGAGATATTATAAGAACTTTAAACATAATTAAAGCGTCAAAAGTTTTAGGAACTTGACAATCGGTTACATTACTTTTATCGGGTAGCAAAGATCGTCCAAAGTATCGGTGTAGGTTTATTTGATTATCGTACCTTCATCATTATAGTCCTATAGGTAGTAATGTTGTATTGCTTTTTCAGTTTTAATTCGATTGTAAAAGTAATTTTATATGTCTTTATAGTTTTTGGTATGCATGTGTTTATGTATTTATATTTGCATATCGTTGAAATGAATGAGCGAATTTTTCTTTGAACTTTTCGAAATGCATCTCATAAAGAGTGGCGAGGAATCAAGGCCCTGCCTTGGAAGTATTTAGTTAAAAAAGAATGAATCCCAGGAGCGACAACAGAGAGGATAGTACAGGCAGAACCCGATTACGCTTTATTTTGTAAAGCTTTATGAACTCTGGTGAGATATTTCTTTCGTTTGTCCGACGCATCGTTGGCCGCACGAAGCTCAATTTTTCCATCGACGCAGATTGATTGTCAATTGTTAAAAAGTAACCTTGAATCAAGTTTAGTCTGCTGGCTGACAGATAAAATGGCAAATCATTTAGAAACAGGAAAGTAACAACGTAGCGAGATGTAAGCATAAAAAATGGTGCCACATGCGATAATGCCAATATACGTGATGCACCTATGCTTAGCTGCATCACGTATACTGGCATATCATGTAGAGCATACCATATGGCAGGTGAGAAATCAATGCAGAGATGGATCTTTGCGGGCAGCAGATGCGGTATAACAGCACATGCCGGTTCTACCGATATGTTGAGGCCGATTCAGAGTGTGCTTTAGTTATTTATTATTAACACTTACGAATGCGACCTCGGCGGGTGGGCCAGTAACGTCAGCGATGCCGGCGCCCACTCGTAACCCGACCGCTGCGCATACGCATGCAAACACGCAACATGCGCCGATCAGCATCCTGCCCATCTGGAAACGGGATATTATGAAAATTATACAACTAAAATGATAATTTTAGTTATTAATTTATTGATCTTGAAAATGGATTTTAGTAATCGTTTTACTTGTAATAAAATGACCGATACCTATTGGTAATTAAGTGAATTTTGCAGTTAAAATGATATCAAGTAAAATTAAGTAAACATAAGATAAATACATTAATTAATATTTATCTTATGTTTACTTAATACCCGAAGCAAATTCGACAGTCTTTGTCGACAAACGACAGTTTTAAATTTTAGTTTACGTGGTCTATTTAATTCAGTTGGACGACGAATAGAGCTCAGAAAAACGTTATAATGAACCTAAACATGAATAATTGGTTATATTTTAAACTTTAATAACTTAACTTTTCAATATATGTATTCATAACCCACTAAACTGTTTATAGTTACAGAATAAATAAACAAATATATCAATAACTAGGTAGTACACATTGAATCACGTAGTTCCGTGTTTATAGCGCGTTTAAATATTCAACAGTACCTCGTGTGATCATAAGTTTTGAGACGAAATAAAAGTTACGTAACTTTTCTAATAATTAAGTTATATTTCTAAAATTTTCAGTAACCATTAAATAGATAATAATCTACAATAAAATATATATTTTATTCAAAATGACCGCCCTTGTTTTAATACAGGCCCTTAGACGATTTAGCAAGTAACCAATGACGGCACAATCTTTTCTAGCGGAATTCGCTTTGCTTTTCGAACAAGGGTTCGCTTCAGTGACTCCAAAAGTTTGGGAGGGACTTTAGCAGGCTCTGAGCTCTAATTCAATCCATAAATAATAATCCAGCATGTTGAAGTCGGGGCTGGAGGAGGGCCACTCGTCCACCGCGATGAAGGCCGGCACATATTTTTAATCTATTAATAAAATCTAATTATTGGTATGTTGATTTGTATTTTTAATGTGATTTATAAAGCATATTGTATAAGGAGTTTTTGTAATGCTTTGGAGTGAAATATATATTGCACTTTTAATATTTAAGTATTTATATAAAATTATAATTTGATTTTAAAATAAGTATAAACATAATATTTTCCTCTTCTCTATGTATTGTTGCTGTGCCCGTCAGGGTCCATAGTTTGAATTTAATAATAATTGTAACATCTATATAACACTATGGTTTGCAATAAACTATTGAGTATTACATTCTCCCTCAACCAAGCTTGGATGTTTCTTTCCAACTTAATTGTTCGTTCCCTCCATCACTAGAAAATATATACAAAATAATTCTCGATACAAATAAACTGAAAGGTAACATTCCAAATTCAAAATCGGTAAAAAAAACAGCCAGTTGTAACAATTTTGTTTTTTTTTTAGTAAAAAGTTTGTCTCATAACTTATGAACACACGAGATACTATAATTGTTGTCGTACTCAGTTTACTCAAATTTTGAAATATTACTTTACTTAATTTTAACTTTACTTTATTGTAGTTTAGTTAATTTTGTAAACGGAGCCTACAAATTATTCTAAATGTCTAATAAATGCATACTGTATATACTTTACCAATTATACTTGTTAAACATGCCATAAAATATAAAAAATACACTTTTCACATTGCAATAAAACTTTTGTGGTTAGCCTATACTAATACTAGCTGTTTGCCCGCGACTTCCACGCGTAAATTATAGCCTATGATAACCCCATATGATGTAGCTAACCGTAGGTGAAGGAATATTTAAAATCAGTCCATTAGTTTCGGAGCCTATTTGATACAAACAAACATTCATAGAAACAAATCTTTCCTTTTTATAATATTAGTATAGATATTTCTTTGTTCGGTAACACTGATCCGACCATGAAAATTTATTTTACTTACGAGAAGCTTCATCATACGCGGGTGATATACGCCCGGTTTCTGAATTGAGAATTTGAAGTTGAGCACGTCTCAAACTGTACTCAAGCCATTTTAAACGTCAATTAAACAGGTTTTCTTTACTGATTTATTATTTTTTAATCATCAATTGATAGCAATTTAATAAAATAAGGACTTTTTACCATGTGAAACGTAAAAAACTTAAGTTATTGAGAATAATCAGTTGAGATTTTGTGCTTTTCTCAATTCAGTAACCGGCCGTTAGGCTATAATTTACGAGGGCGAAGTAGCGGGAAAACAGGTAATGATATATGAAAACGAGTCTTTGTGTTGCTAAGCACAAAACTATTGCTTTTAAACCAAAGGCATTTATTTTTTAAATTCAGTGAAATCCTATGAAAACTCCAATAGAATAAGTAAATAATAATGGCACACTGCTCAAGCGTAGAATTTTGGCTTGGCATAATTTGGTAGGCATAGAATACAAAAGATCTAAACGAATAAATTATTAATATTCTAATTGTCCCTCGCTTATTTTAATAAAGTAAGAACAATAGAGTAAAAAATTAAAATTATGTCTATAATACATTTTCTGACGATATTAACCTACACTTTATTCCCTAAAAATGTCAATAAAAAATATAATATATGATTTTAATAATAATAATCTTTATTATTTAAAGTAGGAAATATTACAATTATACTTAGTTTATTTGCAAAAATAGATTACAACTTAAATTACTACTGTGTTGCCGAAATAGGAAAATTCCAGCGTACAGCGCCCTAAAACCCCCTAAGACCCCATAGAATTTACAATTTAATTTTCTAATATAACAATATGAGCTGAATATTACAATACTTTTTTTTAATCTACTTATATATGTTCTATTAACGATACAAAAATTATTCCGCATCAAATTCCTACCCAAACTGGACGATGTGAAGATAGCCCTACCAGCTACTCTTTATAATTACTGTTCTGTATTTTGTCATACACTGTCCTCGAGTTACAAATAAATAACTCTCAAAACCAGTTATGAGCTGGTCTATTGCGTTGATGTGGCTACTTTACGTACATAGTTACATCGTGTATTTCTTGTTTTCATTGAATATATACCTACATATATATATATATAAAAAAAAAAGGAAAATATACTTGGGGTAACAAATTCAATGCACTTTTAATTGAATTTAATTGAGATTCTGAGTCTTGTCAAACTGATTTTTGCATCTTATGAATAAGTTACTTAGAAGCGTCCATTTCTTATATTTATTTATATACATAATACGTTAACACATTTTACGAATCTCGGTTTTATATCCACAAAGAAAGTAGGTACTAAAAAACGGAATGCAAACTTTTTGTAGATACATTTTCGAGTTTAGAAAAAACGCAGGCATAATCACTTATGTATTTTATATTATAAAGTTTGTTTTTTTTTTATCTTTTCAATATAGATAATTACATCATATATGCACTTGGGTGAAGACGCCTGTATACAGTCAGTTAGTACTTACCTCATGAAATTATAAGTATATCATTGTATGTAAAGAGAAAAAAAAAGTACTCTTGCGAATTCTATTCAATACCACAACACTTAAGAGTTCAAAAATGTCATTCGATCGTCATAATTAAATCATGTCATGATTCATAAAGCGTGTTATGTGACATTGACAGCTAAATCTCTTCCTTTGGACGTGCTTAGTATGAGAAGCAGCACATAAGAGTATGTGTGATCATTCTCTGACCTTACCCCACCAACGTTCCATTATTAGCTGCGGATACGGAAATCAAAACAGGAAGCAATACACAATTTAGAATTTGAAATTTATTCTCATTAATTAAGTTAAATAATCAATGTAAAATAGACCTACATAATAATCGAACAATTTTAATCTAATTTTAAACTTTTATATTACGTTCTACTCCTACGTTAGCTTCTTTACAGTTACGTTAGTCTACGTTAGTTTTTAGTAGCTGCTACAACTGCTTAGAAAACCAGGTATCTATTTTACCACGTACAATAAATTTAGGAAACTTCGTTTAGTTTAGTTTATTATAAGTAATACTTGCTAGCCATCTTTCTAATTTTTGAGATTTATTTATCGGTCTATAAATCGATTATGGTTCTTTGCAAAAAGCACATTTTTTTAAGTAATGTTCGCGTCATGTTATGTTTGCGAGATTACTTATCAATAACAAAGCAAACTTAATAAATCGATGATTTCCTTGATACAGATGACTCTTTTAGCTCGTCGTTGAAGATAAACTGGGACTATAAACACGTTGGAACTACTCATTTATCAATTCTCAGTTAAAAAAATAATAATTGGTTCATGGCACTTGAACTTGAAAATTTTTATGCATATAATTATCTTTATAGCCTTGATAAATAATATATTCTTTATTTGTTTTAAAAATGTTTCTGTCGTAGAGAGATAGAGGATTGCACAGTACGAATGTAAACTATAATAATAGGTTCTAAAAGTTTTTTGGCCCCAAGCCCGAACGTATATATTAATTACTTATCACTGATGTCGCCATGAGACATCTGACGTCAATAAGTGTGTAAACACCACCCCAGTGGCGGGTAATAGTGGATGGTGTCCAGGCAAGCGTTTCGTCGGCATTTCTGAATTATACCTTTCTTTAGGCGTCGTGGAAATGCTTTAAGCATGGTCCCCCTGCCGCCTGGCGAGCGACAGGGCGGTGTGGGACTCTCCTCAGTCACCGGAGGCCTACCCACCAAAACCTCTACGCTGTACCATCTACAATGCTTCACCTGCACATCGGTGATGTTAGTACACTGAGCCTTGACCATTTCAATCTGCAATAATGTCATCGTATGCCGCAATTGAATTAATTAACTTGTATATATCTACATATTTATCTAAACCTGGGTTCTCCAACATGCTTAGGGTTGATATCTGTACAGCTTTAGCCGAATATCTTTGGCTCTTTACGTCGTGTCCGACTCTATATTTGGATATCCGACTTGTACAACTTTAAGTTAATTTAATGCGGTGCTCGCAGCACGTGCCGACGAAACACTAATTACTCAGGGTATAGAACCTTACAAAGGTTATGTAAAGCTATCAAAGAAGGGAAAGTCTGACTTTTAGAGCATAATATCCCGCCTAAAGTGATTTAGGACTTTTATTACATTAAGATCTTTTTATACACTGGATAAGAAATACACGTCCGTCTATTGACCGTAAATGTGTCTCCCGGAGCGCACGCAAAATAAGTGTCGACTTGCGTAAAACAGTTCGCCGTTGAGAATGTTCCTGACATTCTTCAATCTTCTTGA